CCTGCTGGCTACTTCAATTTTTATTGAAACCCCTGATGTTGTGGACTGTAGATAAAACCCGCGGGAAGTAGCTTGAAAGGTTATGGTTAAGTTGGCTGACCTGTTTTACAGCCATTTTTAATGTGTGACGGCGACCACTCGGTAGAGGTCACGTGATAAGTTATTGAGGGAACCTTTTTTTTTGGCGAATTGACAAGCGACTGCTTAATACATCTGTTTTAAAAACTTAAATCAAAGCAAATAACGAGTTCCGAAAAAAAGCAGGCTGAAAACTACGATATTGGCTAGATTATTTTTGGGCTTAAAATAAAATGTACTTACTTCGCTTTCTGTCCAGGCGGATGTGTCGTACAATATTCCAGACGTTAAAGAAGAGCCAGCGTTCGACTTGAAAGTAAAACTCAAACTTTCTGAAGATCTAGTGGATCCTCTTGCAACAGAGACGGGAGAGTTTCTGTGTATGCCTTTGGAAATGTCCATCTCAGCCAAGTAAGATCCATTTTGTTTATATTTTCAGTTTTTTGCTTTTTGTTCATTAGAGAGATAGATTCACGCTTTCCGCAAACGGCAAACGTCGATAGGCCGTTTCCGAGTTTCCCAAGCCTCTATTTCAAGACGAGGCTACGTGAATTTTATATTCTCATGCAAATGAAGCTCGTTATCACAAAAAGGGTTTTTCACTTAACCTCGTTTTGAAATTGATGGTTTTTTGAAATTCTGAAATGGCCAGTTGAAGCATTTTGCAGATTTTTTATCTGTTCATATTCCTGTACTGAAAAAAATTGTCAAAGTGAATCAGTTTTACGCCATTTACCATCGTAACTTCTAAATCTGTCTGTCTGTTGTATATACCTCCAGTTGTAATCAAAGGCTATTTTCAAAAAACATCACCCTGTACTTGAATTTATATGTAAGGTGTCTCTTTCTGTATGTTATTGTATTTCTTTTCTTTTCCTTTTTTCTTATGTAATTTAATATCGCATTTATTTAAAGTTTTGTCCTGCCTAGATTGGCATTATATCTATTTGCGGGGCATAAAGTATTGTAAATTTTATAGTTCTGTAAATAAATTCATTGTTGTTGTTGTTGTTTGTTGCCTTGGATTACCACGACAAATCTTATCAAGAAACCTTCCAAGTTTTTTATTTGGTTTGGTGTCCGCTTATTTAGGTGGCTGAAGGAAGACTCGTCTAACATGGCGGTTATTGACGTTAAACTCGTGTCAGGTTATCAAGTGGACGAAGAGAGCTTGGATAGGGTAAGTGTTTAGTGAATGATATTCCAGTAATCGGAGACCTATGTTATGCGCACGGGATTCTGGGATTGCCAGGGGCCAAACATTGCAACTTGGTAGGAAGAAATGTGTGGCGTTAAGTAGTTTTTAGTGCCCACGGACACAGAACAACGCATTTTCGATGTGAAATTTGAGAAGCGGAGGTTGTCTAATGTTGGGGCGTTGAAATTGTAAGTTTGTGTGACAATTCTGTTAATACGGACACTTTCTATGGCCCCTTCGGTGTCCGTATTAACCCTTCAAACCCTAAGATCAAAATTTGAATTCTCATTTGTTGCTTCTATTCATTTCCTACCAAAGTAGTGGGGAGAAGTTGGTAAAATATCCAGCAAATTCATCTTGTGTGATCATGTCCTTAATTCTCATGACCACTCTGTTTTACAAAGTAATTAGATTACAAGGAGAAATTTGATGCTGATCACTCTTAGGGCTTAAAGGGTTAACGGGCTTTGGCTGTACATGTTTTCTTCTAGTTGATGAACCACGCTAAACTTGGAATGAAACGATACGAAATTGAGGGCCAACACGTGATTCTGTACTTTGATGAGATTGACAAGGTGTCGTTCGCGTTCAAGATTTATCAATCAACCCTTGTGGCAAAAACCAAACCAGCCTCGGTCACCGTCTATGACTATTACGAGACTCGTAAGTACACTGTAGATAAGCTTCTGCAAAGCTAATAGGAAGAAACAGTAAAAGCGCGCGTGTAAGAACCTACAGTTTTTAAAGTCTGGCAAAAAAGGTTTGTGTTTTGGGATAGTTATTGGTAGTTTAGGCTAGGTAGGTTTTTAATTTGCCTCCTAATTTCTATGAAGGAAATATAGTTGTCGAGCACTAGAAAAAGAAATATAATGGGGTTTTTCTCATATATACAGTATTTTATGATGAACCTAACTAAAATGTTATGTGGGATTATCTCTATAACAAGAGTTGTCAAATAAAAAACAAATAAAATAAATAATATAGTAAATAAATGAAGTATTGTCCTGTAATACAAATTTGCAATCTCGAAGTCAAACGTCTTGCTCAAATTTTTTATCATAATTTTACTGTATTTTACTTATAAGAAACTGCTTGATCCTTCTTGTTCTTATATTTTTTGAGTATTAAAGTGGCAAATTTCTGGTAGCAGGTTCTTAAAACCACTAGTCGGTTCTTACATGAGGGTTTTAACTGTATCAAGAGAATTTTAGCGGCGAACTGAACTGTTAAAAAGTTTTTTGACTGGGGATGGTGCAATTACCAGGTGAACAGCCACACAAAACAAAACAAAATTTCCTTACCCACATTATCACCAGAAGTAAGTTGCTCCGCAACACCAAGAAACACCCCAACCCTCCCCTCCACCACCCCCACCACTACCCCTAAATTAATTTAACCCGACCCCCCGACCCCCCGTCAGAGGTCGAACTTAGGACGCATCAGACCAATCACCTGAATCCGCGTCCTAACAGCAATTTCAATAAATTTTCTTCCGCACGAATCTAAGGATTCATTCGTAAAAATTTTGAATTTATTAATATTATTAACCGCA